GGGTTTTGTAAAGGATAGAAGAAAATGACATGATGTAACCAGAAATTCAGAATGCTGAAATAGGACTCTGTTTTCTATTCTTAAGTCAATCTTTTGGGGAGAAATACTATTTTGTTCTTCCCTGCAGGTTATGGGACTGTGATCTCACAAGTGCTAGCTGTAAAGATCTCTCCAGACTCATCAGTACAAAAGAGAGCCTCACAGAGATCAGTCTGATAGACAACAACCTGAGAGACTCGGGGATGGAAATGCTGTGTCAGGCGCTCAAGGATCCCAGGTCTAAACTCCAGGAGCTATGGTGAGCTGCTGTCAAGTTTCACATACCCACTGCCTTTGGAGGCAAGAAAGATGGAGGTGAAGTAATGTCTGCCAGATAGATCCTCAGTTGCAACTTATGCCAGTTGTTACCTAAAGGATTTAGACTTAGAGAGCTGAAGGGATTTGTATTTCTAAACTCGTCTATGGGGAAGATCTGCCCCATACTCATCCTGTTGTAAACAATAGGAGACCAAGCATCACCTGTGGGTCTTCTGGCTAATATGTTTTACACTGCAACAAATGGCACCTAAGAGTCTTTTGAAGTTTGAAAGGCCTCAGTAATAGCAAATTGAGTGCTTTGATCTGATATCTCAGGTCTTCCACTGGATTCAAGCTTTTTTCATTGATGAGCTGAAAGAAAGTTTTAAAGACATGAACCATTCTCAGCGTCCTCTCTGCTGACAGCATTGCCTTTTATGCTGATATGGTGTGGTATCACGTGGCCAGGAGAGGAAAATTGTTCTTTCACCTAGAACTTGAATAAGCAGCACTTGAACATTCCTACACTGCAATTTCAGCTCCTGCCCCAGCTGGGTTCTTTCCCTGCCCTGGTGGCCTGGAAGTTGATACGGTGCCTCAGGAGTGCACAGTGGAGCTGAGAGCAACTGTAAGAACAGCACACTTAATCTCTGATCACTCCTGTGCTTTATTGGCAGGTGCCTTTCCTAGGTGCAGGCTCTGAGACACATCCCAAATACAGAGTGGGAGAGGTGCTGTTTAGAAAGGATTTAGCTGATGGGGGATTGAGAGTACAGTGATTATAGGAAGGCTCTGGTTCCTCTGTTCCCACTGTCTGGGCTCCTATGAAGCAAATTTGAAGAAATGAATGGTGCTTGATATTCTCTAGATCCCCCATCTAGATCTCATGTCACTTTTGCCCTGCAGGGTTAGGGAGTGTGGGCTCACGACTGCTTGCTGCAAGGCTGTCGGCTCTGCTCTCAGCGTGAACAAGCACTTGAAAGTACTGCACATGGGTGAGAACAAGTTGGGAGATGCAGGTGTTGAACTCATGTGTGAAGGGCTGCTGCACCCCAACTGCAACATCCAGTCCCTATGGTAAGGTACACCCTCGGAAGTCATTGTCTTTCTTGCTGTGTTACCCTTCCCAGAATAGCATGTAGAGAGAGGAAGATGGCAGTAGATGGTAGCATAGTAATTTTTTTCCTGTACCTTCAGGATCTAAAGCAAAGAGTGGAGAGGCAGGAAGGATCTTGCTTTGTTGTGTGAACTTCTCACTGTAGAGCTTCCTGTGCCCTTCTCTGAACTCACCCACGGGACCTCTCTCAGATGTAACACTGAGATGGAAGAGCTGCTGGTCCAGGTGTGGCACATTAAATCTTATGCCTGCCAGTCACAGTGCAAAGCCTGCCTGAATTCGCCAGTTGCTTCTTGCTTTCCATAGTCTCTATGGGTGCCAGCATAAGTGCTGGTCCAGCCTCACCAGTAGGAGCTGGAGGCCAGCTGGAGCATCCTCTCTAGCCCTGTGGTGAGACTTGTCTTCTCCATCTGCCTGTTCCCTTCCCAGGTGGGCACCGAGCTCTGGACTGTTGTGGCTGTGGCCTGCATGGTGCTTGGGGCACCATGCTCATGCCCTCCACATCATTTGGCAGAAGCTGGAGCTGTGCTGCAATGCCTAAACCTCACAGTGAGTGAGTTGAGCAAGAGACATCAGTAACATTTCAAGTCTCTGCCCAAAAAGATGTGTTTGATGACCAGTTAAAGCTACTTGTTTCTCAGCTGAGAGGCCTCAGTTGCCCTTTTTAGAGAAATGGTTGCAAGTTTCAAGTAATAGACTTTAGAGACAATTTATGATTTATGAGTTTAAACCAAAGAGAAGATTATGCATGATGTTGGAGTTCACGGGATCATATAATTATAGAATGGGTTGGGTTGGAAGGGACCTTAAAGCTCATCTAGTTCTAACCCCCACTG